CAACAATCCACGGAGACCCGGGTGGTCTCGCTATCTCGTCCGGAATGTTGTGCTTACGAAGAAAGTCACTCGAAATAGATATCTGTGATTGATATCCAATGTCCAAGAGCGACTGAAAAGTGTACTTTCGGTAGCACTGGAATGGAGAGCCGTAAGCCGCTGCGTCCGTGCGCGCCGCCATCTTATGGTAGATTTAGTTGTTTAGTTGACTTATGCCTTGGACAAGCACTGCAATTAATCCAAAGAAGTGCATCAACCATAAGTGCTTATTGAATAGTGCTGGAAGTAAGAAAGGAGGTAAGAAAATGAAACAGGATGGTTCCTGTCATGAGTTAATTTAATTTAGGAACTTCTCAATGTTCTTATCTGATGTGTAGCAATTATACAGTTTCCCACATTCTTTTGCCTGACAGGACGTATAGGAACAGCCCGCCTTATGGAAATGAAGGATTTAGCTGCTGATCTTCTTTTGGCTTTAAGGTTCCAGGGAAAATATTCTCCAATTTGGTTGTCCCACCTGCCAATCTTTATCACATAGTGGTCTTACTGCCCATTCATACCTCTAGTGTAAAATAACCAGTTAGCTTTAGTTTTATCAATTAGCTTGTCTGCCTTATCTGTATATCTTGAAAAATTGTTAACTTTACCATTAACTATGAACACTTTAAGCTGACATGTTTTAGATTTACCACAAGGGGTCAGTAAAATACAGCTGTTACAGTTGCAAACATGTTTAATCAAATGTTGTCAGAAGAATATTTTTTTTATTTACTTATTGTTAACCCTTAAATTATCCTTCAATACAATTAAATTGAAGTTCAGATTGAAAAGCTGCTGCTGTGTGTTAGTAAAGACCTGGAATGGAAACTATTCTTCTGTTGTTAAAATCTGAGAACTGCTTCCAGGTTTGATTTCCGTAATCTCTGACTGAACTGAAAGGTTATTTTAGGCTTTAAAATTTGATGCTAATCGGAATCTGGATGGAATGATGTTCTCCTCACCTTGAAGGTCACGTCCAGGCAGGTACAGAGGAGACAGATCAACAATCTTTTCTCACAAGAACTTACAAGGGCTTTTTTTCTGTTAAAACTCTTGAGTTTAATAAAGTCCACATATTTACAACTGTAACAAAGCTCCATAATTCAGTAACTGTACGTTGCTGCTCCGAAACACTCATCATCACTTAAATACGATAGCAAAACTTCAATATAAGCTATAGATTATTATTTTGGCCTCGGCAGAACCTAAACCCAAATGTCTACTTCCTGTAGCAGTTTTAATAAAGGTAGAGGTTTGAAATTTTTAATTTCCCTATTTAGTTAGTTTGGGCTTAGAGACTTGGCTGTAGAGGCTGTTAGGATCAATGTCTTCTTCTCTCTTCTGTTCAGTCCTAACAGCAGAATAAGTCACAGTTTCCTCATCTTGTTTGACCTGAAAAAACAAATCAAAACTGTTTCAGTTCCACATGTATGTGGTCATTTAACATGTTTCCAAACCAATAAAAAAATGTAAAACACAGTTTAGTTCAGCCTAAATTCACATATTTGACAGGTTAATATTGAAATAAAAATAAATCTCCTCTGCAAAAAAGGGATAATATGGAACCGTAGTAAGTTAAGTTCTACAATGACAAGTAAAAAGATGAATTAACTCAGTCTTTAACCCGCAGCTTACAGTACCCCAAGGTGAAGGGATGCAACCCTCTCCACCAGGGTTAACTCCAACACAGCATGACTGAGTTGGGGAGAGACAAGCAGACCCATTCCAGCTCTCATTCTCTTTCCAGGGGCCACTTAAGAGTAGAGAAAGTTAATTCACTCTCGATTAGCTGGGTTCCAGAGCGCTGGCTGTATGTGGGCCCAAATATTTCTAGCCTGTATCACTCCACCTCATGCAAAATCTCAGTCATTACCTCCAGTAAGGTCACATTTCACATCCCCAGAGCCGATTGAAGCTACTGTGGATCGGGTCCCAGAGGCCTAAACCTCTGACTGCCACCCAATCCTCTTCACACCCTTTGCACCTTCATAGAGTTTAAATAATCAGCTGAGATTCTGCTAATTCCTGCTTCTTATCTCATTTACTCAGTAGATCAAGGCAGCCTACCTTTAAACCCAGCTGGGTAGTGAGCTTCTACCTTTATGCTGTTTCCTTCAACAAACTGGCAGGTGTATCTTCTGTTGGTGACGCTCTGATGCTGCACAGTTAGAGAGGAAACACAGCTGCTTGGTTTTCTGAACTGGTATTGAACATTTTCACCAGTCAGTTTAGTTCCTGTCTCATCCAACCAGATGAAACTCTTCCCTGGCCAAGAACCCAACCATCTCTGTCTCTCCAGAGAACACAGTAATGTGACATCCCCATTCTTTGTTGGATCAGCAGCTGGTGAAGATGGAGAGACTGAAAGAAAAATGAAAACTGTTGTCTGAGATTAAATGATGGAGAAGAAACTTTATATAAAGTGAGAAACCTAAAAAGACAACTTTATCTCATATTTATCATATTTACATTTATCTATCAAAAGTAGAATAAAAATAAGAAACTATTACAAAAAAAACAACTGATGAAACTTCAGATGTTGTCTTGATGTTTCTTGGTGATTGATGCACTAATGTTGCAGATCTGAGCAGGTATTTATCAGCAAGTGTGTGGACTGATGTGTGGTTGAAGCATCACACAGAGCTGAATAAATGATTGGTTCACACTCTGACAGAACAACATTTGAACTTCTGACTGCATCAGATATTCATCAAAACTGATGATGTCAGAAACATCTGTCCAACACAAGTATTTCACAATGTTAATGAGAAGGAAAGAGTCTGACAGCATCAGATCATTCAGGTCTACATACTCACTGGTCAGAACTTTCAGACCAACAATGCCATCATCGCTGCCATCTGAACCAGGTCGACAGGTGTAATGTCCAGCATCTTCAGCAGTGATGTTGTTGATGATCAGAGAGCAGTTACTGTCCACATTTAACCTGGCAGCTCGAGGTGAACTCTGAACATTTCCATGCTTAACATCAAATGGAGAACTAGCACCTTGATCTCTGTAGTAAAACCAGTTAACAATGGAGCATTAGTAAGAAGATGCAGGACTGTTACAAGGTAGAATGACATCATCTCCAGATCTATGATAGAGATGAAGATCTCCTCCTCTTGTTCCTGCAGCAGAGACAAAGACACATTAAAGTTTGACACATTTCATCCTTCACAGACAAGATCATCAAGCTTGATTTAAAGATGTGTAGTCAATTAATTATTTTTTACTTATTCTATTTCTCAGTATGACATTAATTTTCAACCTTTTGAAAAAGCAATCTAATACATTTTGTAAGGATTAATCATTACATTTTTAATCTCTGACAGGTTAGAAGTTTGATAGAAAAAAGATGCTACAGAGATTACCTTCTGCACAAAGTAGATGTTAATTCTTATATCCCCATAAAATATTTCAGTAAACCAATGTGTCCTTTAATTTTTTTTTTCAGCTAAAACAGATCTTTACCTTCAAACTGAAGAAAGGTACTGATGTTATTTCCTCTTTGTGGCTGAATCAATCGATGGGGAAAAAAGCTTCACACCAACATTTCACAACTATTCAGTCGTTTGCTATTTCTTAGAAACTGACAGAAAACCACTAAAAGAAGAACTAGTTGCACAAACTTTACCCAGAAAAAAAAACGTTTACACTACATTAAATTCATTCACTTTATAACACTCAGATCAACTAAAGGGAGTCATTTAGCTGTAGGATTATGATGGGGAAGACCTTTTTTATTTTATTATAGTTTCTATGTATTTCAGTCCAGCTTGTTGTCATTTCCTCTGCCTGAGCAAAGAGGAAGTGTGATGTATTCTAATGAGATGCAGTCAGTCCACTAACACCCAGCAGCTCTGAGACTCTGCAGACAGAGCAGTTAAACCGAGTCAGAACAGAATCCAAGCAGGTCAAAGTGGACCCCTTACAGCAGAGGAGTCAGACTCAGACCCACAGACCAAATGTGATCAATGAGATCAATCCAAATGTCTACTAGAGCTGACCCACTGGTAGACACTACTGTAGCAGTTTGATGTTATTACACTAGACTGCTAAAATGAGAAGCTATTCCTTTAGAAAATTATATGAGCAGCTTTTCCTTTGAAAAGATGACAGATCCATTTCAAAACAGCGGTTAACTTCCTTTTTCAAAATCATTATTTTAACATAAATTTAATATGTTGCCAATCAAAATGTGAAATATGATCTTTAATGTCAAAAAAATTGAATTCATGGATTGTTATTTTGAGTGTTAATTTGTGAATGCTCTGCTGCTGAGTTGAGCTGATGCTACAACCAATCACATCAGTAGAAGAAGAGATGCCAGCTATCTGGGTTGGACCAGAGAACATCAGTGTAGATCAGAGAGCAGCAAACTGAGCTTTACTGATTGTTTTCTTTATTCTCTGTTCTTCCTGATCAAAGGAAGAAACTGGTTGGTTGGATTTTATAGGAGGAAGTTTTTTTTTAAAACTGAATGAGACTTTAAACAAATGAAGCTACAGAGGTTTTGACCACATTTGTGATAATTTGATATGATTCTGACTGATCATCGGATGATTTCTTATTTTCATGCGGAGCAGATCTGCATTTATGTTTTATATTAGATTTATCTGCTTCTGATTAACTCCTCAGAATCTATATGATGTGATTGAGATAATGAAACATTAATCACCTTCTGTCTGTTTGCCTCCAGATTTTTGCCTGAGAACAAATCCAGAGATTTTGGGATTTATTTTGTTATAGATTACAACAGAAGTTTAGAGAAAACTTTTGTATATTTATTGGGAAATAAAAAAGTAAAAAAGTTACACATGCAAAGTGAAGCAAAATATAATAAAGCGTTTGTCAGGTCTAACACCTCAAACACTGTAAAACAAGGAAAGAATGACACATGCTACGTTCACACCGGACACAGCAACAACAGCAAAATCGTGCCTGCTGCTTCAGTTTTGCTGTTTGTACCAGTTACTTCTGACACGCGGCTGAAGCAGCTTTGCTGCTCTGGCTGCGCAGTGCAAAGGTGGGTCTGACGCGCGTTGGGCGGAGCTTC